TAGTAAGGCACTTGTTACTAGAAGCGTGGCACTTGTTACTACTAGCTTGTTTCTAAATCCGTTTTCTATTTCCTTCATCGATCTTCCCTCCTTTGGTGCTCGCTCACTTGTTCCAGACTTGGTAGCGCTTGACACCAGTCCGCCCCGACTGCCCCGATGCACAGCCGCCAATTCCCCTTGGTAACTGCTCAGACGCTCTTCCCCTCAGCGGCGGCCTCCAACTACCATCCCATCAAGTATGCTATCTGAGTAAATAAAGTTCAGAACCCACACCTTTGATTACAAAGGAGAGTGAACATGCAAAACAACGGTAAAATCCATTGAAGCGTCCACAAAAATGAACTTGAGGGCTCGACGCTTAGCTCTTCTCTGAGACCAGAAGAATCTTCGCCACCTCAGACGCGTCCAAATAAGAAAGGAAAGGTCTTAGCTGAAGGTTGAAAAGAACATGTCATATACGTATATATTTCGACAACATCTACGAGCGCTTCTTCAAGTAAGCCCGCCCTCAGGCGGGGGAGCTTAAGTAGCTAGGAGCTTACTTCGCTCTTACTTAATTAAGAAAGGAGGGAGGGTGACAGGCTCAAAAGAAAACGTGTTACTAGTAGCGATGGCCTCCACCTACTAGCTTCTTGCTCCTAGTAGCGATGCCCTTTGTTCCTAGTAGCGTCCTCTTGTTTCTAGTAGGTAAGGCCAGGAGCGCCCCGTTCGTAGCGTCCGATCGGTCGGGGGTTCGCTCCGTCCGTCTTTGTCTGTTTTTGTTCGTGGCCGTGGCGCCATGGCATCGAGCTGAAGAAGATTTTGCGCTCCAGCCACGACCCGCGAATGCGTCAAACCAATCTGCGACGCGAACAGTGCAGTGCCCAACGGAAGCGACGCGACGCGCGACTCGAAGGAGAACTTGAATGGAGAAAACCATCGCTACTAGGGCGGGAGGCCGTCACTATAAGTTCTCTTCTGGGAGTATGTCGGAATAGAATGGATTAGATAGCCTAGCATAAGCTAGTTTGATAGAGCCAAGTAGCGACGTTAGGAAGCCGACAACTCAAACAGTCACCAACTCAGGACATCTTGTTAGGGCTTTGATTTTAAGCCAAAGATCGACATAAAAGAGGAAACACACTAAGAGAACATCTCTAAAGAAGGTCTCAAGAAAATCTCCAAGTTTCCCCAAGAAATCAAGGAACCAAATGAATAGCCCGAGCTTTCCTGTGTCGCAGCCCAGTAGCTTCCTAGCTGCTACTTACCCCTTATTGCTAGGTAGTAGGAGCTTCCTCACGGCCAAGAAAAACATATACAAAGTCTTTTTGTTTCGCGTTTTTTGTTACTACTAGTAAGGCACTTGTTACTAGAAGCGTGGCACTTGTTACTACTAGCGAACCTTGTTTCCAACATTTCCAAAGGACGAATCTTGCCTCTTTCAACCACTCCAACTTGATATCCTCCCGGGCGTCCATTTGCTTTGCCACTCGCCTGCAACAAGTCGACAAGTCCGAGTTTGGAGGCCATCGCTGTTAGGTCCAAAGAAGGGAAAAACACCGGGAAGCGGCTTGAAAGAAAGTCTTGTTAGCAATGCCCGACAAGTCCTTTGAGTTTGGAACCAATGCCCCTCGGTGCCCCTCGGTGCCCTGTCCGTTTTGTTCCGCCCGGTGCTTGGAAACCGCTTCAAGCTGCAGGACGCTGTGTCTGGCTTCACGGGATCAGAATATCTTTTGAGTGCAACAACAGGCTTCAGTGAAACATTTTCTTCAGCCCTTCTTTAGAGATGTTCCTAGTAGCTTCTTGCTCCTAGTAGTAAGGCCAGGAGCCCCTAGTAGCGTCCTTGCTCCTAGTAGCGATGCCAGGAGCCCCTAGTAGCTTCTTGTTTGCAACATCGCGCAAGAATATACAACCCCTCTCTCTCTCTAGCAGTCTCTCGTTGGGCCCCCGAACGCAAAGGTGGAAATGATATCTGTCGCGCTGTACCCTTGATGCCAAATCTCGTGCATTGGAGCAAAGGTGCCCTGGCCGCAATTGCGGATTCGCGATGCAACTGTCAAGAGTCAACAACATGTTTGTGCACTAGCACAGGTACATCAGAAAGTCGAACGTGTGAACTACTCAGCTGTTCAGTATGCCCCCCAGCCTTCATATCCTTTTTAAGGCTTGCTTCCAGGCATCTTCGGATCTTCTCTGGCTGAGGCTGGTCATTCATCCTGCAAATCGCTAAAGGAACAAGTCTCCTTGTGCATCGCGACAATGGATTGCGTGTCTGCTTACACCTGGAAGCCAAATGGCGCACCCAAGGCGGTGCTTTTACAAAGCGCAACCTTGTCGAGCAGGACATCCCTGAGTAAAATTTCTAAAGGAAAGAAAGAAGGAAAGAGGGGACTACGGGTACAAAGGAAGCAAGAATAAAAAGACATCATGTGAAATAAAGCAACGAATAGGTGGAATAGAATAGAAATGAATAGAACAAAGGAAGCAAACACGCCTTCCTAACAAGACTCTATTTCTTTCCAAGCCTTTTCCCTTTTTTCCTGTCTTTTTTGGACCTAATAGCGATGGCCTCCCACCTAATAGCAATGCTAGAGTTAAGCTTCAGGAGCCAAATCAGTAGCGCGTGAGCTATCCTGCGTCCGTGGCGAACTAGTCGCCCTTAATTGAGAGGGACCAGTAGGGAGTGGGGGGAAGACCGAGCGGGCTAAAGATGCTAAAGAAAAAGAGTTGCTCCGTTCGTAGCGATGCCAAGAGCCCCTAGTAGCGTCCTTGTTCCTAAACTTCAATTATTACGTACGGACGGCGAGATATGATCTATAATCTATGTGCATACTTATTAAGTAGCTGTGTTATCAGATGGCTCTTTTCCTCTTTTTGCGCATGTTGCACCAACATTGCATCTTAACGCACGACGCACAACATTTCATTCGGATTGAATCTGGCCTGAAGACAGTGCTTCGGTTTATCTCACCGAAAGCATTGAAAGTTGACCTCAGAAAAGCTCGAGTAGCTCCTACAGATAGCGGACACAAAATTGAACACAACTAGACTTCTTCTTTCTATTGAACATACTTTTTGTGTTCCTTCTCCTACAATTCTTTTTCTTCACAAAGAACCAAAGCTTGCAATGATGTTCTTTCGACTTCTTCTGCTTTCCACGCCGCACGGCGTCCTTATTCGGACCCTTCGCATGGGCAAGATGTTGGACGTGTCTGATTTCAAGTTTTGCATTTCGAAGTAGCTTTTCTCCTAATTTGTTTGACAGAAACAACTCCTTTGTCGCTTTTCTTTCATTAAAATGATGTGTTTAACCACAGTTCTTTAACTCTTCTTTCATGATTCTATCTCTTTTTGTTTTCGAAGCTAGGAGCCCTAACTGAGCGCCATTCAGGCAGTTGCGCATATCTCCCTCAGCAGCAAAGATCAATGCCTCCAGGCCTGAAGTGTCGTACCTGAGGAAAAGAGGAAAAAGGAAAGGACAACATGATATATAAAGAGGCGATGATCTCCAACCTACTAGCAGTGGCCTCCAAAGTGAAAAAAACATAATAAATGAAGAGATGAAAAGACAATAAGAAGATGAAACGATGCACGAAGAGAGCCAATTTGAAGGGACCAAACACACAGCTCCACACGTTGAAAACAATTGTTTTTTTCGAGTCTCGACAAAGAGTGGGAAAAACGGATGAGACGCAGAAAGAAACAAAAAAACAAATTTCTTTTATTCATAGTTTTCAACTGGCCGCTCTTTGTCAAACAAAAATGGCTGCAAAGACTTTCAACACAGTAACAAGAGGCTGTTTCGTATGTCTTTGAAGCTTCTTAGTAACGTTTTTCTCTCAGATCTGTTTCGTGTCGCACGGCGCTCCCTCAGTCTCCAAGACCAGCTTCAGTCTTAGCATCATCTCCTACATGGCACGGTTGCAACACTTCTTTTTCCGGTTTCATGTGCTTTGCAACACTTGTACTACTAGTAACAAGAAGCTACTAGGGGCTCCTGGCCGTACTAGTAGGAGCAGGGACGTTACTAGGGGTGCTTTGCTGTTTTTCTGTTTGCTTGGCTCAAAGGACCTTGCTTTCAGGCCCTAGCCTCATCAGAAATTCGCCCGAATCTGAGGATAGCACACCGAGACCTTAAAGGACTGAATCCACAAACAAACACTGCAAACACAAGCAACTGTCCCTAAGAGCGATGGCCTCGAACCTAAATAGCAATGGTACAAATACAAGCAAATACACCTAATTTCTTCCTTTCTAATAGCTTCTTGTTACTACTAGTAAGGCACTTGTTACTACTAGCAATATTCACCATCCATGTGAATTTGAGTCTTGTGTTTATTAATATGTTCTTTCTCGTCGGTTCTGCGTCGGGTTTCCGGCTGGATGGGCTCAATGATTTTGGATGAGATGTTGCAGGCCAAGGCAAAACGAGTGGTCTGGCCTTGGCGGCAGCCAGCACATGCATGCATGGAAAGCATGCGATGCATGGAATTGCATGGAACCTAATAGCAAAACATCTAGGAACCAAATCATTTGTGCGAGCGCTTCTTCAAGGAAGCTACCCCGTGCCCTCAGCCGACGGGGGCTTCTTTGAAGAAGCGTGAGCTATCGTGCATCCAAGCTAGAAGCTACTTAAGCTACTAGCTACCGTTTGCTTCTACTAGCTACCTCTTCCTACCTCTTCTCGGCCTACTCCGCCGGCATAAAAAGAAAAAGCAATCGGCGCTGAGTGTATGTCTATAGATTTCCATTGTTCGCCTCATAGCCTGTTGGGCTGCTTGGGTCATGCTGTCAGCCTCGTCCAGAATAATCACCTGACAATCGAAGAATTTGGAAAACCAACCGCTGCAAAGTTGCCAAAACACATGGTGAGCATACTCGGAACATGGGTTTTGGCAACTAACATCATCTGAAATCGCATTTTCCGCTAGGAAAGCAGTTGTTGATCCTGAAACATTGGCGTCTTGGAAGAGTGGCTGTCTTGGTGCAAGGGCCCAGTGTGCCCCCATCAGTGCGCCCGGTCAGTACTAGATAAGAAAAGACCACTGACCTCTGTGCTCTGCATATGCTCTTAGGCTGGAGGCCATCGCTGGTAGGTTTGAGGCCATAACTATTAGAAACAAAGAAACATAATGAAGAAAGGTCTAATATAGTTTGCTACTCGGTTGTAGGCCATTGATCTTTGCATATGCTCTGCATTTGTGCTCCGTGCCTTCAACTTGCCTTCTGGCAAAGAGACCTTCTGCTGAGCAAAGCCCTTCGGAGCGTTGGACGCAAATAACGCTGCCGCGCTGAGAGTCAGGGAAAAAGAAGGAGGTGACTTCGTGACACATTTTGTTGGAGATCACTTCTGGGCTTCGGTACAATTTTGGAAAACAACTGGGCAAAACATGGCACTGTGCTGCTCCTGCTTCTGTCACTTGTGCTTTTCCTTCACTCGCCTTGATCTTCTCGCGGACCACGTCGATCCCTCTGTCGTCCGAAGCGTTGAGCTCGATGCAGCCCACATCGTAGAAGGAGCCAAGGTGTTCCCTGGGGACGGCGACGGCGTAAGCAGCCCAGAGTAGCGATGCCCTTTGTTGCTAGTAAGGCCAGGAGAGCCCCTTGTAGCTCCCTGTTCCTAGTAAGAAAGAGAGTGGGGTTTACAAGTAGTTGTTACCTAAATACTGGGAAGTAGGCTGATACGCAAAATGAATCCCCCTTCGTGATTGATTTGGCTCCTAAGATTCTTTTTTGAAACTGAAGTTGGGACAAAAACCGTTGTTCCAAGGTGTTTCGTTTTGGCTTTGTCTTTGCTCTTCTTGGGTTCAGTCTAGCTAGGCCTTTACGGCGACTCTATTGACGACTCTATTTGCAGGCTTGAGCGGCACTCAGTACAGAACACTTCTGCGAAAGCAACTCTTGCAGTGGGAGCTGGAAAGAGGGTGCACTACGGCAAGGTTTCGAGAAAATTGGACACTTGTGCGTGTGCACATGGCCGGCTTGGTAGCTGAATGGTGAAGCAGTTTCGTTTGTCTTTTAGGACGTAGCTCACTATGGCAGGGTAGGCAAAATAGCCAAGAGGTAAAGGTGCGTAGTTAGCAAAGACGTTGCTACATGCGATGGTCCGATATCGAAACTCATATTCTTGATTTCGCAGGACATTCCTGAGGTAGCTGTGCAATTCACAGCCGAATGATGAGCATATGATATGACTCACAGCATATTGAGCTGGTTTTCTTTCTTTCTCTGTCCGCATTTTCCACATCTTCCCCAAATTTTAAGGTTATTGAAATGAGGAACAGCGTTTATGGTGGCCATTTCGCGTAAGAAGACCTCCTTTCCTTTCTTTCGAACTCTTTGACCATCCTTGTCCTTCCTTTCTATAGTAACAAGAATGCTACTAGGAACAAAGGGCATCGCTACGAACGGAGCGATCGGACGCTACTATATCACTTCATTTTTTGTGGATTTGTTCTGAACCTCTAAAAAGCTAGTAGTAACAAGTGCCACGCTACTAGTAACAAGTGCCTTACTAGTAGTAACAAGAAGCTACTAGTAGTTTACTTTAAACTTAATTCTAATAGCTTCTTTGTTACTACTAGTAAGGCACCTGTTACTACTAGCGTGGCACTTGTTCCTACTCCTCTACGAGATCAGACTCTTCTCGCCTGGCCAAACAGTGCACGACAGTTGTCTTTCCACATCCAGGTGGTCCGGTCAGCAGCAAATGAGGAAAGGTTCCTGACAGTTTGACGGTCCGGTAGGTGAGTTCCTTTGCAAGGCAACGGAATTCTTTTCTTTCTTTTTAGTAACAAGTGCCTTACTAGTAGTAACAAGAAGCTAGTAGTAACAAGTGCCCCGCTTCTAGTAACAAGTGCCTTACTAGTAGTAACAAGAAGCTAGAACTTCTCACGCACTTATTGCACTCAAAGTATTGAATACTGGAACGAGCCTGCAGCCGCATGAGATTGAAGAATGGCAACTGCCCCTACATTGCCCACCACATCCTGCACTACGCTTTTTACAGAACAACTTGACGCTTTGATGGAAAACAAGTTTTGGCGATTTGTTTGATTTGAGTTCGCATTCATTTCTTCCAAACCGACACTGTGCAAATGCGAACGTCAAAGGTAAAAGAAAGCCTCGATGTGAAGGTAAAGGGCGATTTGGCCGCCCTTCAAACCCTAATCTGCTTTACACATCTAGCAATGGCCTCCAACCTACTAGCGATGGCCTCCGGCCTAGCACCTGCAGAAAGTATTCTGTGTATTCATTCTGCCTCATGGAGGTGATGCAACGATGTGAGTAACAGAATAGTTTCAAGAAAGCAAACAAATGCCTATCGTTCTCCCTAGCATTTAGTGAATGTGTGGGTCACAGTTTCTCACACCAAATCTATCACATGAGAGTGACAATGAGCCTCTGGCCATGGAACCTTTGGGTAAACATCTAGGTTTGGTTTGTAATACTTCAGCACACTGCGCAATTGTGCACACTATGTCAATCCTCCCGAATCGCGTCCCTTGACCTAATCCCGCACTTTTTATCAAGTTAGGTTGGAGGCCATCGCTACTAGGGTGGAGGCCATTGTTACTAGGGTGGAGGATGCCATCGCTATTAGAGCGGAGGCCATCGCTACTAGGTGGGAGGCCATCGCTGCTAGGGCGGAGGCCATCGCTATTAGGTACTAGAAGCGATGCACTTGTTTCTAATAGCGTTCTTGTTACTACTAGTAAGGCACCTGTTACTACTAGCGTGGCACTTGTTCCTAGTAGCTTCTTGTTTGCTACTAGTAAGGCACTTGTTACTAGAAGCGATGCACTTGTTCCTAGT